GTTGCCGTCAGTAAGACCAGCTCCCAGGCCTCCGGAGGCTGAGAGTCCACGAGGCAAAGCAAGTGCATGAACCGGGGAGAGCAGAGAACCACCACGGGTGCCACGACAGAGGCGTGCAGAGGTGAGTCAAGGGCACAGTCTTAAAATGCACCCGACTCGGCGACGCCATAATGGGGGCCTTCTTCCACACTCCCACACATGCCCTCTGCTCACCTTCCTTCTCCGGATCCCTTTCCTCGCCCGTGTCCTTTAGTGTAGACATTTCTCTCACAGCTCAGGTCCTGACGCTCTGTTCCTCTCACGCCATGCACTTTCCCTTACGGGCTTGACACGTGCCCAAGGCAACCCAAATCAAGACTCAGAATCTGGGTCCCTACTTCTGTTCTGACCTCCTGGGTCTTACTGCTGAATGTTTCTCACTTGGAAACCTCACCTCAACCTCACCATCATCTCTAGCCCATTTCTCTGACAGTCCCCACAGTCTCCCATCACTCAGATTCAAAGCAGACGTTAACCCTTCTCAGTTTCCCCCTCATCCAATGGAGTACTTGGAGGGTCCCCAATTCCCATCCATCCCTCTTTCAAACTCGCGTCTACTCATACTTTCTACCTCCTACCGGGGTCATGTAACTTCTTTCTTTCTAGTCAGTTTGATCTTCCTTTAAAGACAGAGATCGGTCTACGTCTTCACGTCTCTTATGGCATCCGAATGCGACAGCTACTCAGTAAGTCTCTGTTAGTGAAGCTACCTTACAACCATTCTGGGGGGGCTTTAAAAGCCTGGAAGTAAAACTGGATCTTGCCTGGAATGTAGCCAGAGCCAGACACTGAGTCATGGACAAGGGCGGAAAAGATCCCTCAGTCCCACCTCTTGCATTTAGTGTGTGTGTGTGGGGGGGGGTATACTAGCCACTCATCCCTGTTGCCACCAATACAACCACGAGTCAGCTTGGTGGTTAGCACCCTGGCAGTCTTCCCAACTGATAGCCAATTGAAATTGGGGTGAGGAAGCAGAATTCACCAAAACAGGCTTATTATCAAGACCTCGCAAGCGAGTTGCCAGCAGAGAAGCTGAAATGGGAGATGTGTTTTCCCATTCCCCATCCAGGATGCGAAAGGGAACTTCCACAGTCCCAGATATAATTAAATAGCTCCCACTCGCAACCAAGAAGAGCAGAAAAGTGGTTGTGAGGGAAGCCAACCAGAGGCCAGCCTGGAGTGGGAACGTTCAGTTCGAAATCCAAATGCCAGCGTGCAAAGACGCCACTTCCTGCCGTAAGGGGCTCACGCAGCTCCTCTGGCGGTATGTTCCGAGCTGATTCATGCCAAAAAATTTTCCTGAAATTGGAGCAAGCGACAGCCAAGGGAGTCTTAGCCCACATTTCAGGCTTGTCGTGTTAGAGAGGAGAGCTGAGAGAAAAATGCGGCCGGTTTTACTTGACTCACAGCCACCTAACTTCCACTGTACACTTCTGCTTAGTGTCCCCGAGCACCGTTCCAAGCCCAAGCTGAAATTACATTTCTGGGTTAATAACAAGCACAGGAAAATAAATCACGTCTGCCCTAGGACTGAACCCAAAGCCAAAGGCTGCCAGAGAGGAATTTGTGAGTGGAGTTTAGAGGCGACTTTAATGCTGAAGGAAATGAACCTTTAAAGAGAAAATTCAAATAGCAATCCACGTAGACAAAACATTAATCTGCAATGCCTTAGTTAATTTGGGGGCCTTTCATGACTTTTGTTTTCTTAAGTGGCTATCTGCCAGGGCAGATCTTCTCTCGTAAGATGGCTGATGGCTTGGGGCCAAATAGAGTAACAGAAAAAACACGTGTGCTTGGGCTTCGTCGAATCCTCGGGTGTACTTGTGTTTTGTAAAGGGACCTATCTCTATAACAAGATGCCAGTAAAAAAGCAAATTATTTGTCTAACCCCAATTCCATTTGTTTCTTCTGCCTGGGCCTTATAGCTTGTCTAGAAGGGGGCTAGTTTTTGAAGGCACGAACTAATGCTAACCTAGACAGCCACGTCAGGTAACAAGGTTCTGCGTTGGGCCATATGGTAAACAGGTCAGCTACCTGCTACTGAGAACAAAGGTCTGAAAAGAGCTCTAGTAACTGGTGTCATCTATAGAATAATTCTACCACCGTAACTCGGTGCTTCCCACACCTCAAGCACATAATAATGCAAATGCTGACGTGGGGAGGTTATCACAGGACGGTATGGGACCGTGAAGAAGCCCAGAGGAGAACACTTAGTTCAGCCCGGAGAGAAGTGAAAGAGATCACGGAAGGCTTCCTGAAGGAGGCAACCACTTCCTCTGAGCCAGGCAGGTAAAAAACGGTGAGGACAACAGGGAGAGGAGTGGAGAAGGGAAAACTAGAGAAAAGGAACGGCATAAATAGAGACACAGGGTGTGGTAGACACAGAACTGGAAACCGTTCTCACTGCTGAAATATGAAGTAGTGCTGCATGCACAAAAAGCTTGGAGAAGCAGACGGGGCTGAGGCCAGGAAGGACTCCATTCACATGAGGTGGAAGAACCTTGGACTTGATCCTGTCGGTGATGAGAACAGCAACACACAAGGTTGTCACTGGAAAGCAAAGAACTGGGAGGAGCGAAACAGAGGAAGGAAAACTGTGGTGAGAAGCCAAAGGCTGAGGGCCACTTTAAATGACAGCGGATCGAAAATAAATAAATACGGCCACGCTGAACTTACCCATCATTTCTGCCACCCCTCCTACAGAAATACAAGAGCACGTGGAGAGAGAAACATCTTACAAGGGCCTTCACAGGAAAGAGATATTTATTAAACGTCCTGGGGTAAGACATGTTGGTAAACTGTCATTTCCCTGGGAAAGCTCCCCCTAAGATTGGGTCTCCCTCATTAATATTAAACCAGGAAACGGAGTGTGGTATCAATGAAAACACCTACAACAAAATCACAATATCGGTCCATCTTGACCGGCATTGGAAGCCTTAGAAGCACACAGAGCCTCTGCCATAGGGCAAGGGGCAGGTGGAGATGAGGCCAAGTTCCTCACGAGTATCTCAGCCCACCCAATACCACTGAGAGAGGCAAGGAGAGACAAATCCAGGTCTTTCCAGTTATTGTCCTGTAATTAGCTTCATGGTAATTTTT